CAACTATATAAAAGAAATTTAACAATGACTAAGCAAAAAAGAAAGAATCACATAAAAACATCTAAACCAAAATAAATAAATAAATAAATAATGAAGACATCCAAACGATAGATACATCTCAGTGTATGAAGTAATTAATCATTTATAATATGATGTCAAAATATAAAAAAAACTTACTATTCAATAATTGAAAAAGTAACTCAAGCAGTAAATTCAAACTTTAGAGGTTTATCGAAAGTATTATTATTGTGCAAATTTTTTCTCTTGTGAGTTGTGATTATATAAAATAACTAGTGGGTGGCACACGCAAAGTCTTGGGTTCAATCTTAATGAAACCCAATGTCTTGGGTTCAAATCTTGCTCAAGCCTTTGAATAATTTTTTTTTTATTTTTTTATTTTAGGATAAGAAAATTTGTCACGTGACAAAAAGAAAAGTCACTAAGAGCATCTCCAACGGTAATAGGCATTTTACCTATCTAAATATTACTATAAAGTAGATATTTTATTTTGCCTATCAACTATTTCATATTTCTATTCCAACCATACTCTTTATTTTAGCTATTCATCTAAATACTATTAATTTTATAAAATGCCACATCAACAACAAAGATGGAGGGAAATGATCCTAATGATTAAATATATTTTGCCTAGTCTTGAAGCCTAGCTACATGTAGCTAGTGAATGTGAGTTGAGCTAAAATGCCTAATCATATGCCTAGTGCATTGGAGTTGAAAAAAATAAGTTATACTAGGCATTTTGACTAACAAGCATGATATGCCTAGTGGGTTGGAGATGCTCATATATAGAATCACTATAAAATTTAAACGACAAATCCATAATAGAGAATAATATAGAATTGGTATTGGGTATAAAATAATGAATGGGAAAAAAAGAAAAAAAAGAAAAGAAGGCAATTTAGCATTAAAAACAATTCTAATACCTTTGAATGAATAAAGAAAAACATGAAATGCAAAATTGATATTAGGTTTGTGAATTATCTCAATTTATCATAAAAACATATGAAAAAGAAATATTTGTCAAATAGAGGATATATGAAATAGATAAAATTAGTATAATTTAAATTATGTTTGAATTTGTGTAGAATTCTATATGTAATTAAAAAAATATATGTTGACGTGACTTTCTTAGGAAAAAAAAAAATCATTATAATGTGCCACCTAAGTATAAAAAAAAATATTACTTTTAATAATATATATATATATATATTGGGTTCAAATCTTGCTCAAGCCTTTGAATAATTTATTTTTTTATTTTTTTATTTTAGGATAAGAAAATTTGTCACGTGAAAAAAGGAAAAGTCACTACACTATTAGACATCAATTCATGTGCCTACATATATAATAGTATAGATAGATGTAAGAAATAAAATATAATTTCATATATAGAATCACTATAAAATTTAAACGACAAATTCATAATAGAGAATAATATAGAATTGGTATTGGGTATAAAATAATGAATGGGAAAAAAAGAAAACAAAGAAAAGAAGGCAATTTAGCATTAAAAACAATTCTAATACGTTTGAAAGAATAAAGAAAAACAAGAAATGCAAAATTGATATTAGGTTTGTGAATTATCTCAATTTATCATAAAAACATATGAAAAAGAAATATTTGTCAAATAGAGGATATATGAAATAGGTAAAATTAGTATAATTTAAATTATGTTTGAATTTGTGTAGAATTCTATATGTAATTAAAAAAATATATGTTGACGTGACTTTCTTAGAAAAAAAAAATCATTATAATGTGCCACCTAAGTATAAAAAAAAAATACTACTTTTAATAATATATATATATATATATGATGTGTTGCGTCACAATGTCGCTGAGATGGCAGGATTTGATAGGTGAATTAGAGATTAATTTCAAGTATAATCATTGTACACTAATTAAACTTACATACTATAATTAACTCATATCCTAAGTCCCATGCATCGGTCCAAGAAGCTATAAATACTTGACAATAATAATTAGGGGAAATTACAAAAAATAACCTCAAAGTTTTGCGTGTTTTTCAAATTAAACCTCATTATTTTAATTTTAATAAATTAAACCCTAGAGTTTCTTTCATGTTTCAATGTGAACCCTCCGTCTATATCCGTTTGATTAAACTAACGGAATCTGGACAAAATTATCAGATTCAAGCACACATCTTCAAACACTTGTATCTCCCTCGTCAGAAGTCCGTTTCGCCTTACTTTTGCGTCATTGGATTCAGCTTATTGCCTAATTTTCATTCCATCCTTCATACGCCTTGTTCCACCTTTTTTTATGTGCCGTTGGAACTCCGAAAATTGAAAAAAATAAGATTTTTCTCTCTTTAGGCAAAATTTTCAGATTCAAACACATATGTTCAAGCACTTGTATCTCCTTCGTTGTAACTCTGTTTTGTCTCATTTTTGCGTCTTTAAATACACCTCATGGCCTAGTTTTCATTCCACCACTCATAAACCTTGTTCCATCTCTTTTTGCATACTGTCGGAGCTCCGAAAGTTGGCCAAAAATAAGACTTTTCTTTCTTTGGGCAAAATTTTCATATTCAAACCCACATATTCAAGTACTCGTATCTCTGTCATCGTAACTCCGTTTCACCTCATTTTTGTTTTGTTGGATTTACCTCATGGCCTAATTTTCATTTCACCTCTCATGCACCTTATTCCACCTCTTTTTGTATGCCATCAAAGCTCCAAAAGTTGGCACAAAATAAATTTTTTCCCCCTCTATTTTCTATCTCCATGCTTCCTCCTTCCTACTTTCTTTGCACAATTATTCTCTTTTTTTCTTTTTCCTTCGTGGCCCTTCCACCGAGCTCGTGGTGGTCATCGAACCTCCAACGGTGGCGGTGTCATCGAGAATGAATGTATATGACTTACAAGAACTGAAAGAAACATAAGAGTGGGGGAAGGGCCATGAAGGAAAAGGAAAACAGAGGATAATTGTGGAAAGGAAGAAGTATGGAGATATAAGATAGATAGGGAAAAAAAAAAAGAAGAGACTCTGACAACATGCAAAAAGAGGTGGAATAAGGCGTATCAGGAGTGGAAAGAAAACTAGGCTATGAGGTGAATCTAACAACGCAAAAATGAGGCAAAACGGAGTTACGACGAAAGAAATACAAGTGCTTGAATATGTGTGTTTGAATTTGAAAATTTTACCCAAAGAGAGAAAAATCTTATTTTTGGCTAACTTTCGGAGTTTCAATGGCACACAAAAAGAGGTGGAACAAGGCGTATAAGGATGGAATGAAAACTAGGCAATGAGGTGAATCCAATGGCGCAAAAATGAGGCCAAACGGACTTACGACGAGGGAGATACAAGTGTATACGTGCTTAAATCTAAAAATTTTGTCTAGATTCCGTAAATTCAATTAAACGGAGATTGACGGAGGGTTCACATTGAAACACGGAAAAAACTTAAGGGTTTAATTTGTCAAAATTGAAACTATGGGGTTTAATTTGAAAAACACGCGAAATCTTGAGATTTTTTTTGTAATTTTCCCTAATAATTAAGATCTCGAGGAGTCAATTTAAAAGCTTAGTAGAGGATTGTTAATTTTACAATTTTCAAACTAGCTAAGATGCATACAAGCTAACCTAGATACTAGTAATAAAAAAAGGCTAAATTTTAATAAAATCTTATTTATCTTTATCTTTTGAACAGGGTGCAACTTTTGTGGCTCAATCCGAGGAATCTGAATCCAGTTCAAATTCTTTTAAAATTTGGATAAGATATCTTTGAATTTGTTACGAGTTTGGATAAAAATTTAGAAATCTGAATTAAATTTGAGCAGGCTTGGACAATGACATCAAACAATCTAAACAATCTGAAATCCGAATTATATATAAATATATAAAAATATTAAATATACATATAAATTATTAGTCATTGCATGATATTAAAGTAATTTAAATTGTTAAATCATATTGAATATATATTAAATACACAAGTAATACAAAATTAATCTTCTTTTTTATTATTATTATTATTATTATATATTTTTACTCATAAATTATAAAGATTATTATAACGATATCTCTCTTATATTATATAAATTATTTTTTGATGTTATTAATGATTTTCAAATAGAGTCTAATTTTAATAAATTAATAATTTGGCTAGGAAAAAAAACATTGAAATTTATGTACAATTCGAGTTTAATTTGGGTTTAGGCTTGGGTAAGCAATTTCAAGTTATAATTCGGACCTAGACAGGCCTCAACATAACTTAGACTAGGTTTAAACAACCTCCCAATTCGACCGAAGCCACCTAAATTGCATCCTTACTCGCACTGTATGTCCAACTTTTGAACTATTATAAAAACATCAGTTCACGCACTACAAGAATTAACACTTTTGCCAACCAAAAAATTGGTCGCTAAAAGCCCATTTTTGGTCGGCAAAAGTTATCCGCAACCAATTTGTTTGGTCGCTACTTTGGTCGCCAATTGAGGGTCGGCAAAAGTAATTCGCGACCAAAATTTTGGTTGGTCGGCAAAAATTGGATTTGCCGACTAAATTTTTGGTCGCTAAATATTTAATTACCGCGACTAATTCATTTTGTCGCTAAAACACTTTGGTCGCGAAAAGTGATATTTTCCCGACCAAATATCTTAGTCGCCAATTAACACATTTCGCGACCAAAAAGTTTGGTCGCCAATTATCACATTCAACGACCAAAAAGTTTGGTCACCAATTGTGACATTCCACAGCCAAAAAATTTGGTCGCCATTTGTTACTTTTCGCGACCAAAACTTTTGGTCGGCAAAAGTGAGTTTCCACGACCAAGAGCTTTTTTGGTTGGCAATAGATGTATTTTTTGCGACCAAAACTCTTGGTCGGTAATTGTCATTTTTTGCGAAAAAAAATTATTTATTTGTCGCGGCTAATAAATTGGTTGCCAAAGCAAGAAAACAATACACCTGTAATTCCTAATAATTCATTCAATACATAATAAACCTATAATTTTAAAGTATCATTCAAATTAATTGAATCATTAACATTCGATACAATAAATAATTCATTAACATTCGACACAATACAACTATTCAATATTTAAAAATTCCCATGTTGACGTGTCCATGTCCATGCTTCTTAGGTTGTATCCTTAATTACCTTTGAGTCAACAAGCCATATCTTCTTGCGGCTTTCTTCTAATGGGGCTTCAGTCTGCATAAAAAATTAAGGTATAAACTTTCACCATGTTTTGTTAATTTTGTAATCTGATTGCAACTTTGCAAGAAATTGAAAGATAAGATATGTAGGAAATGAAAATAACATTGTAAGTTCTCACCTGTTTTGACATCTCCAGAGCTATGAGTTCTGCAATGCCAGTGCCAGCCTACATCAACCAAGTGACAGAAGTGAGAAAAAAAAATATGACCAGTTGGTCAGTGAGGGAGTGAATAAATTACAAAAATGGGGAATATACGCCGAATATCCTATTCAATTAGTATAGCAATTCAAATTTTATTAAATGGAATCTTCAGGGAAGACTAGTAAGAGCACACCTCTCCTACTCCAAGGAACAGAAATGTGTGCTCGGCTAAGGTTCCCCCAACTAACTTTAATGCTGCCATAAGCCCTACAAGGACCACGGATGCTGTCCCCTGGAACAAAATAAATAACACAAATATTAAAAATACTTTACACCCAAACCCACGCAAATGCACATAGCAGCTCACTCAAAGTATGGCAATACACATCTTGTTTTCCATGATGACATACAGGTAAGTGATCTAAGAAATTGGGTTACTATAGAGGGCACCTAAGGTTTAATGGCTCTGAGAACTGTATGATTTAAGAAACTAATACACAGTCACACTCAAATCCCAATTGCTTGAAGTTGGTTTTGGATACAAATGATCTTTGATCAACTCTGAAAGGTGTCTACAATCATATGTACAAATGATCTTTGGCATAATACACAGTCACACTCGGATAGCCCTCCAATTCATGGACTTAACCCTTTACCTTGCAACCCTGTCAATTATGCCATTTGACCAAGTAAAAATCATAAATTTGGCATTTGACTCAAGATTAATCATCTGGTTGTGGATTCCATTTTTCTTTTGCACCAACTGCAGAGACTGACTGTTTGGGAGGTGTCTGCTTCCTAGGTAAAAGTCGAAATGTTTCTGCCAGCAGGCATTCAAACCTTGACCAACTCTGAAGCCACCTTGTAGGAGCCACAAAACAGAACAATCACAGGACAGTTTAACTATGTTTGGGTGCTTACTGCTTCCTTGGTAAAAATTAAAATGTCTTTCGCCAGCAGATATTTAAACTCACATCTCGATCAACTCCGAAACAACCCAAAAGGAGCCACTAAGCTAAAATGCTTTTATTGTTAATCGTTATATAATTTTAACTTGCATGGGCATTTACTATTTGTATATAAATACTGTCATGCTGACGTTTTCAACTGCATTACTTCTAGAGATAGCCGTTCTCACTCTTGCTTTCGGAATTGGATGTCATTCTAATTTCTTTTAATTGCATTACACAGGACATGGGCAAGCATGTACTTTAAGCCAGATTATTTTTCATTTATCAAGAAAGCTATCTGCCAAGACAAGCATCACAAACAGAACAGGTGAAGCCATTACAAGGGTAAACATAAAAAGTTATGGCAAGGTTGAAATTTTTCTGGAACTTTGTATGAACCAATCTTTTAACTCGGGAGACTCAATAATGATAATAAATGCAATCCAAGTCTTTGTGCTTAGTATACATACCTTCTCTTTTGCCCAGCCAAAAGCAAAGTTGTAGATCTCACGAAACTTTTCTGGATGATCATAATAAAAGAAGATTAATTTAGTAACAAAATAGTTGAAATTCAACATATTATGCTGAAGCTGATCAAATCAATGTTCTCCTAAAGCGTTTTAGTTTCTCATCAAGATATATGTCAACATATGAACTGTCATTGTCACAAGCAACATGACATATGAAATAGGAGCAACGTGGGTTATCATTTATAACTACTTGCAACTAATGAGGAAAATTGAATGTCATGTATTCATACGCTCATCTTTCAGCTCAGAACGCATAAATTGCATACGATCGCGGAATTTCTCCAGCGAATCTATCCTGATATTAAAAATATAAACTCTGTTATTATTGGAATTAAAAAGAAACAGCAAACTAACATAAAACTTGACCAATAGTTACCCAAGAGCTTGCAAACCACCAAAGAACTCCTGCTTGGAAAATTCACACATAGTGGCTGCCTTCATGTGCCAAGAAAGAACTAGCTACAACAAAGGCAACAACCCCATGTTAGCTAAAACTTTGCTGAATGATTAGAGTATAATGTATTTACTTGACAAATGACAACTAATAACTTGATCATGAGAAACAAAAGACTCCTGGTATATATTGCAAACACTGGCCCAATTTCTTAAGATTGTTTGGCAAAATGTTTAAGAGCTTTTGAAATTAATTTGTCAATCAATTACAAATATAACATAATAAAACCCTAGTCAAGTTGAGTTTATTCATCAATAAGAGAATGAGGCACGAAACAGAAGTTCAAGATCAAATAAAATGAAAGAAAAGGAAAGTCATTAGTATAAGCTTAGTAACAAATGATGGACGCGAAAAAATAAAAAACAGTGGGAAACAGGCTCTATAAATCATCAAAAGTCATTCAGCTTGCAGTCATAAGTTGCTTGAGTATATTCATTAATTAGGCAATGAAACAGCCAGTTTAAGATCAAATAGAAAGAAGGAAAAATACTATAAGGCCATGTTTGTTTAGCGGCATAGGGGGCTGGATTGGATTAGTATGGGTGTGGGTCCCACCCACACCTTGTTTGGTGATGATTTGGGAGGAGGGATTAACAGTGTGAGGGGCGTTGTAATCTCCCTTAGGAGGGGGATTAGCTTGGCTGGATTTTGGATAGGATTAGAAAAATAGTGAGCGAATTGAGTCTATTCTATATAAAAAATTTATTTTTTTAATTTTCAGTAATTCTGAAAAATAAATAAAAGACATTAAACTCCTTTCCCTTTAAAAATTATATTATGAAATTACTATTCAAAGTGAGTCCTCTTCACTACTTATTTCTCTTGTTTCAAACTGCTATATGTTAACAAATAACAAATAAACGATCCCCTTGTCTCATATCACTCAAAGTAATTGGAGGAAACAAGAAAGAAATAAAATTGAATGCCACAAAAGTATTGCACTATGAAGAGAGAGGCATCTCACCAATTGAAGCATTACTCAATATCAAACTTTTCTTTTGGAAACATGTAAAACATTACCTTTTTCTATTTTGAATAAATATATGAAGAGTGAAAAAAGATGAGGCAAAGGTGTGGTGCTAAATCATAGAATAGAAAAGGATGAATATGATGAGAAGTGAGATGACATAAAATATAACATTGAGATGAAGCCTAGCATTGGGCTACCAAAAAACAACCATAAAGAGATGGCCTGGGCTAGTAGTGTGGATTAAGGTGATACTTGCGTCTTTCTTTCAATTAATTTGATCAATTATCATGAACTGATTATTCTTATACTGAAAAGTAGCAACCTTGCATGCCTACATGGACAGTGATACCTTATCAATTCTAGAAGCCTTACCAGCTGCATGAAAATCAATGAAAATATATGAGGTATAGGGCAAGAATGCATGTCTTCAATTGCATAGAGGAGCAAGTCTACAAGACTAGACCATTCCAGAATTTGTTGCTTTAATACAAGGCAAAGGAAAACTATACCAGTTTTGCACATTGATATTAGGACAACACAAAACTATACTAATCATTGTTAATATTTTTTATTTTTGTTTCTCACCATGATGGGTATTTATTGAGTGACACATGTCAAACAGTTATGACCTCTAAGGTACAAATGTTACTGAGTTTACAAGGTTCTGACTGCTAAAAAGCTTAATTCCTTTGTAGATATCAGCATCTGATGGTGAAAAAGGGAAAATCAAGTGCATTTTGGGGTCCATACTAGTCGAAAAGTGTAGTATATTTTTGTCTTCATCTTTAGAACCCTCTACCTTTCAACACCCATGTTTTAATCTGCTATCTCGGAGACATCACAAATGAGTTGGACACACCCATGTTTTAATCTACTATCTCGGAGACATCACAAATGAGTTGGACACAACAAGTAATTTGAGCACGACTCATATTTGATACATTAAGAGCATATTTAAATGAGCAAATTATAATATAGAAATAAAATTATTAAATTATAGGACTCACATTTTAGTATTTGATTTCAATTTCTATTATTTGAATTAGATTCCGATGAAAATTTCATTCAATAAAGTTGACAATTTTTTAATCATACAATTAATAACACAAGAGAATGTCCCACTGTAAAGTTGATTTATTAGGTTGAAAGTTAAAGTTGATTTATTAGGTTGAAAGTTAAGATATAATGTCCCACTGTAAAGCACCATAAGAGAACAAATATAGACAGCACAGAGAACAATTCCACTGTCATTGTTTCTATATAATGGGTTAGGCTTGTGGCTTAGAATTTTGAGAAGCCTAACAGACATTTTATCAAACAGTTTGAAGGCAAGAAAAAAAAACAAAAAACAAAAAACACAAATCCTTTGTTATTAAAGTTTTGCTTTTAAAAAAATGTACATACACAATCAATTTAAGTTGGGGCTTTTAAAAAAATGTACATATTCAGTAAGAAAATGTATATATTCAGTAAAAAAAAATGGTTTGAAATCACCTTATGATCGTCCAAGAAGACCAAGATGCTAATCTTTTAGCGAGTTCGCCACATCAAGATTGTCTGGGATGTGAGTGAAGAAGATCAGGACGGGAGGGTTCCTTCCCATATCCCTATCCTCATCTGATTATTTGAGATAGAGTGAGGGTGAGAGTGAAAGATCAATCGATTGAGAATGAGAACAAGAACATGACAACAAAAGCATGAGAATGCAACTGCGAGAGAGGGAGAGTTGACTGTTGGTGACAAAGTTCAGAGATCATGAGAGTTGAGAAGAAGAGGCACTGTGAATTTGTTAGAGATTGCCGATTGATGAAGGGCAAGTGGAGAAGAGATGGACTGTTGCACTCAAAAAATTTTCAGGCAGAGAGAGAGTAAGAGCGGGAGATATTTTATATGGATGGTTATTGGATCAGCTGTAAAACGATCTTACTTTGTGTATACGGACACATTTCAGAGTCTCCTTATGGCGAGTGTGGTCTAACGATGTGAGGATCAACGAGAGATCAATGTGGTCATAGGTCGAGTGTGGTCTGAGGATCTGTGTGAGAGAAAGACGGAGGGCAATGGCGAATTTCAAATTCCCGCCCCACGTTTCAAATTTCACCCCAAACTTTTGGCGACCAAAAGACCAAATTAGTCGCAAAAAAGTTTCTTTCGCCGACAAACTTTTTTAGTCGCCAAATCTCAATCAACGGCGACTAAAAAATTAGTTGCTAAAAGTACTAATTTGGCGACTAATTTTTTTTGCTTGCTGAAAATAAGTTTTTCGCGACCAAATTTTTGATCGCCAAAAAATATGTGACCTTCCGCGACCAATAATATTTGGTCCCAAAATTAATGATCATTCCCGACTAATTAATATTTGGTCGCCAAATGTCATTTTTTTGCGACCAAAATTTTTTTGGTCAGTAAAAGTGGTCGCAAAATGTGTAAATTCTTGTAGTGACGTTATAAACTTTTAACATCATAAAGACAAATTGTTTTTGCGAGACAATAATAACAGACTTGTCCAATTATTATTAACCTTGCCAGTTACAAGGTGTGGTAAGAGAAGCACAATTTGCAAAAGGAATGGTTTCAAATTACAATTGACCAAAACTGGTAATACATAGCCTTAAATCTGAAATTAATCCAAAGTTTGGCAAAATTACCAAAATAATACTTTTCTTTTCTCATGTACTAAAAATACTTTTGGTATGTTGAGAGTTACAAGTAAGAACTCTCATGATAGGATCGAATGGACCTCTAGGAAGCTGGTTAAACCTATTTTGAGTTATATCATCTCTCACCTACAAAAAAAAAAAAAGAAGTTATAAAAAGTCAAAAAATTGACTTTTAACCAACTTTCTAAAACATCTCAGAATAATAATAACCAATAAATTGAGATTATTAGCAGAGTACACGAAAGTGAGGGTTTGTGGAGATTATGTTAAAAGTAGGCTCGGCTTTGAGATTTCCGGAGCTCAAAGCCGATAATCAACTAATAAATTTCTGGGGCCCTTTACATTTTTTTTCATTGAATGAAAAAAAAAATTGAAAGTAAAGGACAAAAGATTTGTGTGAAAATCACAAAAAATACTTAGGATTACATTACAATAACTAATTAGTATCGCTTGATCCTCACTCTTTTTGTATTTTTAGAAGCAAATAAATCAATCATACTTGCATAATCTAATTTTTTTACAAAATTATTTTCAATGAATAATAATGCTAATTATTTTAAATGAGCCTTTCAATTTTTTAATGGATTAATTTATTTTAAGTTAATTTGGGCCTTCCTTAATTTTTTTTTGGACTTAAAACATACTTAATATATTAGACTAAATTATAATAAGAGAGACCCGTTTTTTGGTCTATTTTTAATGGATAACAATGTTAATTTTTTTGAATGGCCTTTCAATTTTTTAATATGTCAATTTATTTTAAGTTAGTTTGAGCATTTTTTAATTTTTTTAAACTTAAAACATACCTAATATATTACATTAAATTAAAATAGAAGAGGCCCTTTTTTTTACTCTATTTTGAGGGGCCCTAGGCTATGATCTTGTGGCCTATGTCCCAAGACCGGCCCTGGTTAAAAGATAGATTAGCCTTACACTTTGTTTTCTAAAGAGGTTAGGCTTCCTGGATCAGTTCTTTGCTCACTTGGTACAAATGAACAAAACAAGGATAATAAAAGGTTGTTGTCCCTATGTAGTTGTCATCACCTTTCGTCCCATAGTCCTCAAGCCCTTTAGATACCAAGAAAAGAAAAATACACACACACACATATATATATATATATATATATGGTAAATTACACTTTCACTCCTATAATGTATGATCTTTATTTTGACTTTGCTCCTTTAATAATTGAGGGGGTAATTTATATGAAAATTGGGCCGAGCTGGGCAATGGGCCGTTATGGGTCACAATACGAAGAGCTGAGTAAAAAGGCCTTAAAGTTACTCCGGTCCAAAGGAGGTTTGAAGTTACTCCGGTCCAAAGGTAAGCTCGGTCGTAACGCAGAAAGTTATCCCGGTTGGGACCACGGTTATCCCGGTCGAGACATACCATGGATAGCATTGGGAAAAACCGAGGTAAGAGCAGTGAATGGGAGAGCCGAACTAAAGTTAGCTCGGTCTTGTTTGTGGCTTAGCATAGCCATGCTTACCTAGGTCACATTGGAGTCCGACCATGGTAAAACCATCTCACTTGGTTTAAGCAGTGATGAGGGTGTTGAAGGATAAGCATTATCTTTCAGGAGTATGACTCCTAGGAGGACTCTACATGGAGGAGTAAAAGTCCTATTAGGATTGTGCCACGCGGAACCTATAAAAGCTCATAACATCACCTATGGAGAGGTAACACAACTTTGATTCTTGAACATACAGAGCTTTTTGTCTATTTGTCTATTTTGCTGACTTAGGCATCGGAGAGGTATCCGGCACACACCCGCCGGCTAGCTCACGTTTGTATTTTCAGGGAGTAAAGTGACATCGTACGGAGGAGTGCAGACTTGATCAACAGGATTATACGAGAATGTTTATTTCTTTCCCGTACAATAATAATAAAAAAAGAAGAGTTTATTGGACTGGACTTTCATCCAGTCCATGATCTAGACTGAAGGGTGTTGTTCGGGATTATGACGTTTACTACGAGTCCCATTTCGATAATTTAAATTATTTATTTTGTAAATTCATATTGTAAGAGGTGAAATAACTCATATTTAAGGACTAAAAGATAATTTACTCAAAAAATAAAAAATGGATGACATGCCGGATGATGAATTTGTCATTAGCACGACATCTTTCTCACAAAAGTTATTGCCGATGGGATTTTGTGATTGTTAGGATATCTTAAGCTCTGTGTGGCAGTAGATTAATTTGGTTAAAGTAAATTTTTTTAAAAAAATTAAAAAGTCATATAAAAATATAAGTGTTGGCTTTTTGGCTTTCGAAGGTTATTTTTATAATTATGAGCGTGCCAGTAAGGATCAATCAGTCCTTACAGAAAATTAATTGCCAACCAATTATCAGACGATTGTGTTTTAGTTCTTTCAGCCTCAATGAAGAGGACTTTTACTGGTGGCTTGATTCAGGAGAATTAAGCAAATAACAATTAAATGAAGAACAATTGAAGCATTTCTTTAAAATGAAAAAACTTACAATAATCTAAACTCAGCCTCGTAGAGGTTTACAGCAACAATCTACTTGAAACTACTCCTATGAACGAAGTGCAATGCAAGAATTTCAAAGTACATAAATGTAAAGAACAGGAAATGTAAAACTGGAAAGGAAATAAAGTAGAATAAGACTGGTTTTTTAGATCTAAGTCTGGGGGGTTTTTCTGGGGTCTTCTTTGTTATTTATACTTCTCAAGGATGACCATCGAACTGCATTTCCAACCGTCGAACTGCTCCTCCATGATCGCTGATCATGTTGCCTTATAATTAGCTCCACTATGCCATCACTTGCAGTTAGGCTTCCCTCATAATTTTGAATTTTAATGTGAGTAACCGTTGAAGCCACATCACTTTGCATCTTCTTTGCTGATCCAATGCTACTCAGATCTCGTAATAACCACTACTAACTGTCACGTGTACGATTATGATTGAAGACTTGAATAGTCTTCCTGTATTACCCCTATTCTGCCACGCGTCGAATTATAATTGGCTTATACAAAATATGTAGCCAACATTACCCCCCACACTAATATACCCAATACTTGGTGATATTAGTGGATCAAGGTCTTTTATCCACATCTTAGAACGTGCATGGGCTTTGCATTCTTCTAGAAATGCAACTGTCATTCATCATCTGCATTAAACTCTCCTTCAATCTTTTGAACACCCCCACCACCTTAGTATTCGAACAGACTGATACATTTTTATGGTCGAATCAATTTTCTCCTCCATCGATTGAGCATACGAAGAGTCATCTGATGATGCAATTTCTCCTCGAAAGAACCTCCATGCATTAATTAGCCACCTTTACCCACCTTTCTATATTCAAGTCATGGAAGCCTTTGCAAACTATCAACCCTTGGACTACGAACACATTACCCTTAATCCTTTGATTCAGAAAGTTACAAACATGGACATAGGAAATTCTTTTTCTGATTCATCCTCAGACTACGAACAAATTGCCCTCAATCCTTTAATTCAGAAAGTTGCAAATATGGACATGGGAAGTGCTTCTTCACAATCCTCTGTATGGGATAAGGTTGTGGCTTCTTCTTCCTCTGGGGCTTCTGACTGGGCAAGCTGGTCGGAACCTGAGGCTTGTGATTTAAGGGAGCGAATTAACCATCACTTTGTCGAGTTCACTGACCCTTTAGAGTTCCCTTCCTATGCGCGAAGCTCGGTAGTTTACCCTTACGTGCCCATCGACTGACGACGCAGTTTAGAGGACAATCTAGCATGGTACACATCCTCCACGCCTACAAAGATAGTGCACGCTACCCGACGCCCAGAAGAGGCACAAGGGTACAATCCATCATTCTTAGCCCAGAAGGCGAAGCTTTGCTCTTCTGATTAGCTCGATTATATTAATGCCCTTGTTCCTTCTGCCCTTGCTCTTTCTCCTGAATTGGAAGCTTCCATATCTCCTCCTCCGCCAAATCCTTGCTGGACAGAGAGACTGAGGCTTGCCCTCTTTGCGGATAAGGTCTTTCCTCCTTACAAGCCTCCACCTTCCCCTACTCCAACTGAGCAGAAGCAAGCCCAACTTCTGCTTGCGGCCTTCTCTCACTTACCTTTCAATGTTCTTGAGGACGACATCTCTCTCAAGAACCTTCGATGGGCTTGTGACATTTTGACTCGGGATCACGTCCTCAACCCCCTCGCCCAAGCAGAGCTTTACATGTTTTTGGACCAACTCCCATTGCTTCTTCACTGGCATCGAACTTCTGTGGCCACCACTTAATCTTTGGACCAACTCTCATCCCTTCGAGTTCATGCCCAATACGAAGCGGAGAACCTTATTGAAGAATTTGATAACTTCAAGAATAAAGACTCTTCGTACTGGGATAACTTGGATATGGAGGAGTTGGAAC